ACAGAATTCTGCGTTCACGTAGTTGTTTTTGCTTCTGCACTCATGCCTCTTGAATTTGCTATATTGTTTTCAGAAAGGTACACTTGTAATTTTTTTCTACTACCGGTCTGTTTCTTTCATTATTCACGGCTTCTCCGGATCATGTCTCCTTTTTCTCATGAATGTGCTGTTCTTAAGTAGGCGACGATTAGACAACTCCCGTGACTTTCCCTGATTTTTCTGCGTTATTAAGTTGCTGTAACTGTGTGGTTTGTTTTGTTATGATTGTTACTCATAATGTTAGTTTTGTGGGTTTCGTTGTGCTTGTTTTTACATCGATGTCAGAACAATAGAACATACAGCAGTTTGACTCATATGATGCTTAGTTCCATGAGAAGTTATATTTTTTGCTTTATGTTCCATGGTTAATGCAAGCCAAAAACTTATCATCGGTCATAGCAGGGGTAGCTTTGGTGCTAAGATAAGTCCCTTCCAATTTCTCGGAATAAATGTTAATCAGATGTTGAATTGCCTTTTCACACCTCATCTTATATCAGCGATTTTAGGTTTCTATAGTTCTGCTTTCTGCTTAAACAAATTTTTGCAATATGTGTAGACATTTATTTAGACTGCAAGGTCTATCTAGGTTCCTTTGATGTTGATGAATCTACTGATATATTTCTACATTTCTTTTGGTCTGTTTGTTTATTTGTCAATATTTGATTGAAGATACGATTTTTTTTTTATGGTAAAAAAATATATTTTAATTAGTGAGCGAAAAACCAAAAAGATCTTAATTCCCTGCTGTTTTTGCTCCTTCATCAAGTGAAACTTACGCCTCTTGAACTTGTTAGAAAATACTACTTATGAATTGGAACTTGGCTTTAAATTTTCAGGGGAAGCACACTCTTTGAAGGTTGAAAAGATCTTGTTTAAAGGGAAGTCTGATTACCAGGATGTCATGGTTTTCCAGGTTCAGCATGCTCCAGAAAAGTTATAATTGCTTATACCCATTTTGTGTTCCTTATTATATCAACAGTGCGATGTTTTTCTTTTTGCAGTCATCAACATATGGTAAAGTTCTTGTTTTGGATGGAGTAATTCAGCTCACTGAAAGGGATGAATGTGCCTACCAAGAGATGATCGCTCATCTTCCTCTATCCTCTATTCCAAATCCCAAGAAGGTTTTTTTAAACTTCTAGCCATCTAGGAATGAATTTGTCTTAATTACTCAGAATTCTTATTGTTCCTTTCTCTGCTGTCTTTTGTTGCACCACATGTTTATTCGCAATAACAAACAGAAACACTTGGAAATATCACTCCAGTTCTCCCTACAGTAACTTTTTAAATTTATGAATCTAAATTTCTGCTTTTCTTATCATCCTGTTTTTTTTCTAGGTTTTGGTTATTGGTGGAGGGGACGGTGGTGTCATACGGGAAGTGTCACGCTATTCTTCAGTTGAGAAGATAGACATTTGCGAAATTGACAAGATGGTAGTTGATGTGAGTGAGTGATAATTCTACTCTTTTTTTCCTCCTCAAAACAAACCTGAACTTTAATAGATGCAGATTCCCATGTTACTTCCATATAAGCAGCTCCATCTGCACTTTTTTTCCAAGTTGGGTGGGATTTTTTGTATTTAAGGAAAAATTAGTTGTTACTATGCTGGTGCTGGTCTTTCTCACTTGGCATTAAATTGATTATGATTATGGTCTTACCCTCAAAATCCTCTAGTAGTAATTTGTGCAGAACATCAATCTCGAGTCTTCATTCTTTGCAGGTCTCAAAGCAGTTTTTCCCTGCAATGGCAGTAGGGTATGAGGATCCACGTGTGACGCTTCATATTGGTGATGGTATGGTTAGCTTTTTCATTTTGCTCTTTTTTGACAGCCTGCTCCCTATTTCCGAAGAATCCATCTCATGCTTGGTTACCTCTTAATGGTCTAGGGGTTGCATTCTTGAGGGAAGTTCCAGAAGCAACTTATGATGCAGTTATTGTGGATTCATCTGACCCTATAGGTGTGATACAACTTTAATGCCTTGTAATTCTCCTGATATTGTAGAGTAATTCAAGTTGTTTTCTTAAGAGAGGTTGCTGTTGGCATATTTCAGGCCCTGCTCAAGAGCTTTTTGAGAAGCCCTTTTTCCAGTCGGTTGCAAAGGCTCTTCGTCCTGGAGGAGTTGTGTGTACTCAGGCAGAAAGTATATGGCTTCATATGCATATCATTGAGGACATAGTCGCGAACTGTCGCCAGATATTCAAGGGCTCTGTAAACTATGCTTGGACTACAGTTCCTACATACCCAAGGTTTTTTCCTTTTCATATTATTTTCTCTCTTATTCGTTCTACAAAGGCATGCCTTATCTATAGGAGTTGTTGATCACACTTAATCATAGGCTTGTTAATTTTGCTGGGAAAAGGTCAACTGAAACTGTACTGGCCTCAATTATTTTGCCACTGCTGAAAGATCTTTTTTTTTTCCATTCTCTCCTGTGCTCGGATATGTCATTGAATTGTTACATATATTGTGCTCTCTGTGGGGGGATGGTGAGAGTATAATTATGAATGATGTTGCTTTAACTGTTTCATTTCAGTGGGGTGATTGGTTTTATGCTTTGCTCAACTGAGGGACCTCTTGTTGATTTCAAGCATCCTGTGAATCCCATCGATCAGAATCCCAGTCAGAAATCAGACAGACCACTGAAGTTTTACAACTCTGAGGTGTGTGTCTTCTCCAAACATTTTTCTCTCCTACCCATTTTCCCCTCTGCCTGGTGCCTTACTGTGTCCTTGTTTATCTCAACTTACATGGATCCTCGCATTCAATTCCAGATTCACACAGCAGCTTTCTGTCTGCCATCTTTTGCCAAGAAGGTGATTGAATCGAAATCAGAGTGAGAATATTCTTCAAGTGCTCGGAGGACCATTTGTGGCTGTTGTAGAAGGCCAGCTTTTATCCTTGCATCTTTCATGAACAATAAGTTAGAGCTTTTAACTTGACAGCAAGAGTGTATCTCATCACGAAAATTAGTTGTAGGCTATAGCTGGTGGATCCAGATGTCATTTGTAGTTTGGAATTTTGATTAGAGATAAGTATTAGATGCAAACGGTTGCTTTTTATTAGCTCTGAAATGCAATCCGCTATATCTGTCTTTGCATGCTACTCGCTTAACAAATTAAATCATAGTCTACTTTGGTTTAGTTTGGTGGTGTCGTGAAATGTGCAGCCTAGTGTGCGTGTGTTTTTTGGCTGTTTTTTTTTTTGGGGGGGGGGGGGTGTGGTGTTTCTAAATATAAGATGAAAGATAGTCTTTATACAGAAGTTGCCTGGTCATTTTTCTGGATGACAGGTACTTAAGGGGTAGAACCATTATGACTTTCAGTGCTAAGAGAACCGAATCGTCCAGTTGAATTGGTAAACAATCTCAAGACGGGTCTGGTCACATTAGTTAACGCGTCTAATGACTGGTTCAAGTCTGTTTATAATTAAATTATTAAACCGCGAACTAATGTCTCGACTAGTTTTTATGGATGGTCCAAATTTTATAAAAGAGAGAGTAAAATGCCTATAAAGTGAAGCATTATACTTGCTCACGTAAAAGCAAAGAAAATATTACAAGACTTGATTTGTCATGTAATCTCCTCTCGTAAGCCTTTGCTATAAAATTATAAATTCCATTACTGTCAACCAGAGTTTGTGTGTACTTACACAAAAGATTCAAAATGCTAGCGTTGACATTTAGCTTTAGAAGGTGGATTATGCTGCTTTATAATACTCTATTTTCAAGGACTAATTTCAATCACGAACACCGTTTTATCTTTACCGAATTCTTCCTTGCAATCATAGAAATATATCATTCTAACCACCCATTTCAACATATTTGCATGCCAATCGAGCCAACTTTTATACAAAGATGTCAACTAGACTTGTATCTTTATCTATTGTATAAACTAATAATGAATGAGTTACACTTCTCATAGGTCAAGAGTACGCCATGCTATAGATTTTATAATTTTTAAACGACCCCAAGCAAAGAAAATAAGCATCTAATCCAAAAGGCTCACCCTCCACATGGCCATTCAATTCCTCAAGCAAAGGATGCAAAAAGTCCTGCAAGAATAACGCTGATGTGGATCCACAGGGAAGCACAGCAGCCCAAAATCCAAATATAAATTCGAAAAAATGGAATCTGAAATTCCACAAGGCAAGCGACGACTAGGAAATCCCAAGGTTCAATAAGGCTTTTTCTGGAAGCAAACTCAAAGTGAGGAAGGGATAGAATATAGATGATGTAGTTGAAGATACCAAAATAGAATGTAACAGCTTTCTTGACAAGCTCCCACCCAAACACTGCGTCTGCGCCACTGATTTTTGGCTGTCTATATACTCGTCTCTAACTAGCAAAGCCTGATATTCATGATTCCTATTTACATGTTAATTTTATATCATATATAGATATACATTGCTTGCTCTTTCAAGCCCAACATTTGACAAAACCAAGGTTTATCCTGTTTTATTTTACATTGAAAACTACTAAATTCACGCATCGCTCAAAACCATAACTTTGATACTTCCTCAAATTTAAGAAGGCACCTACTAACAAGTAATTATATGCAAGATTGAACCCATAATCTTCGACTTACAAGAAAGTCTTCATACTACTAGGCAACAAAACTACTGGCTGGTTTCGATAATTTCCCACAAGAAATCTGACCCCACGTAAGGTTGCCGACGTAGCCCCATTTTCACGACAAATTGTCAGCCCCCTTATGTTGACAACATATTAGACTTTCCCACAAATTCGAGATCAGAAACAACTGGTATTACTTTACCGGAAGTGATGGTTAAGTCCCAGAGTTTAAAACAGAAAATAAGGCGTAAAAAAGAAGGCAAAGCATAACACGTCGATTTTAAGTCTCTAAAATGACTCTAGTTACTGCATTACTTCTATCCATCACTAAACGACCAACGAACGTTTTATGGTGAGGGAGTGAATGACTAATAAAAAAACACAGGAATCAGGATCAAATTATATTAGAACATTCAATTAAGGAGAATAAGTACTGATATTCAATATCCATTACAACTTGCTGCTATCATTTGAAGCAGCAAGTTACTACAAGATGTGCGACAAAACTCCATGCTTGATGTGTGTGTGTGTGTGGGGTAATCATTCATCGCCCAAAAAAATCAATACACCAAAGTGGCATTTATTGTCATTGAATTGAAGGATGGGCAACACCCCGTCCCAAAAAATGAATTAAATAAAATAAAGCACAAATAATGAGTCATGCAAAACCAATATAACCAATGCTATCAATGACCTGTAGCGAATCCATTTGCTAAGCCTTAAAGGGGGAGAGAGCATTTGACGAAGTTAAGCGCCCAAGAAGACGATTAGCATGTCCAACAAACATTACAACCACTGAAGAGGGCAGATTCGTTACAGTCCATGAAGAATTGAACAGTCGAAGTCAGCTTAGGGGAGAACACACACTCTTAATTAAGGTGGAGAATAAAAGACCCTCGGCACCAGCATGTTACCAAAGAGTATCCTTCCTATCCAACCGAAGGATTATGTGAGTTCTTGCAAATCCTCAACACTATCCTTCTCATCCTATGGAGTACGCTAGTTTTTCAGTAATCGTTGACACAGCATATCCTTCTTATCCTATGGATTACGCAAGAGCTTGCATAATAACAGATGCTATGCCAAAGAAGAATAAAGACAAAGGCATCCCACAGAACCAAGTTGAAGATCGCAATCACCTTCAAGAGCCATGCGGACATGGCTAGTAGATGTTCTAATGGATATGCAGATATCTGGAAGAAGCAGCCGACAATGAAAGTACAGAGAAGCAACCAAGTACAATTCTGGTTTTGCCAAGCAGACACTAAAAGCAGCGACAGACCAAAAATGCACGTTTGACTCAATGATGAAGACGCAGAGGTCAAGCATTATTTATACCCTTCCACCCTTAGACAGCTCCAACTCATAAAGAAGGTGCAACCGCAGATATCCTTTAATGAAGGGCTGACAAAAAGGTTAACAGACAGAAGCTTCACTGCAGAAGACAAAATTCAAGGGGCACAACCAAATTGTCGATTTCTCACTTTAAGTCAACTTGAATGCAGAAGGAACTAGATGACATGATTGTGGCAGAGAGAAGCAGACAAAAAGATGAAGTGAGTGACGATTTGCCGACAATCACACCTCAAAACAAAAGGAAAACAAAAACATCATTCAGGATCCATAAATGCCAATACATCAAGGTGCCATAGCATATAAATAGATTAGGAAGAGTAACAATTAGTAAATAACACAACTGGCTATATAAAGTTGGGAGAGACCTTTTAAGTTTCAGCAAGCTGAAGAGAGACAGAAGATGCTAAAGTGTCCCATGCATCCTTTTGGCAGCTATAACATCTTGCGGGTGCCATCAAAACCCAAATATCTAACACTGACCATTACCAGAATATCAACATAACTAACACGTATAGTTTCCTCAAGCCATCCTACAGGTAATACACTACAGCAGAGTCCATTCCTAACGGTCATCCAGCATTTGCTCCATTCACATTCCGACCTTAATCTCTGTAAAAATAAACAATTTTTTTTAACATAAATGTAGCCAAATCAGAGACAGCAATTTGCATTAAACACAGCTAAACCTACCCATTGGCATAAGGAGAGTCACGGTGAGAGCGACGGTATGGAGGGGACCTGCTGTAACTGCGTCCACGTCGAGGAGGTGTAATGCTACGCCGTCTTGGAGATCTTCTTCCAATAGGGCTATAGCTCCTGACAAAATGAAGCAAGTTCAAGACACTAATTTAAGGTATCAACACTCGAATCTTCAAAAGGACTCCATTGTAGATAAATCAGAAAAGATTAGCATCCTGAAGAATTGCCACTTGATAAGTTACATTTTCATAAGATTTATGTAATACACGTAAGGAAATGCAGGGACCGAGATTTTAAATACCCATACTCCCAGAGGCTTAATTTGAAAAACAGACTGCGCCCAAGGATTTGGATTCAGGATTCAACAGGAAACTACAAGGGGCTAGCTTATTTTCTATGTATTTCAGATTTGTATGTTCGCTTTCCAGAGCCAAAGTCCAGACGGGATGATGATTGTGAGGAGTTTCAGAAAAGCCCAGGGGATTGAACGTATGAGAATCAAATGACAGAAAAAATCTAATCACATTGTTGACCAAATGAAACAACAACAGCTCATTCCAACAGAGACTACAATGAACGAATAATACACCAGAGTTTACTTAATTAATACCAGACACAAAGAAATAGGAATATCAAAAACTGAGGACAGTGGTGCACTGGTGCTGATTGATATGAATAATTTGCAAAACAAAGCAAGTACCCCACCCAAGAAAAGCCCACTGCACAGATGCCAAGTGCATGCTGAAGAAACTTGAACTTGCAACAAGACATGCTAATATAAATTCATGCCATTCAATAACTCCACATATTTTGATATTAATGGATCGCAAAAATGCTCAATAGACAACATTTCTGTCCCCAAGGCAATGAATGGTCTTAGCTTCCAAATCAAAGCAGTTATAATAAAACTTCACACATAACATACACTGTCTTTTCCTTCTCTATGCCTCAGGCATCTTGATAAACAATGAATCACTCCAAACTACCGGTGAAAGACAGACAAAGCTATGCATGCAGAAGTACTGAGATAAGATAAATCATTTGAAATGCATAATCCTTCAACTCATGCATCCAAAAATTACATCCCACCTGCGACCATAACTTGGACTTCTACGGCGCCGATATGGACTGGGGCTTCGTCGACGGCCACTTCCTAAGCCTCGTGAACCAACACGCATGCGGCATTCCCTAGCAAAATGACCAGGCTCACCACACTCATAACATTTTAAGTCCTCGCCTCCACGTCCACGTCCACCACGTCCTCCACCACCCTTGGAATTATGAGAAAGCTCCACACGCCAGCCATTTTTTCCTGCACGTCATTCAACCAGTCTAATGAGTCATGAATTGGGATTAAAAAACAAAAAAAAGACAGAGCTGCAAAATGACAACATATAAAGGTATATACGTGAACTTAAAATGAAATCAAGAGAACAAGAACGTATACTGACCATCCAGAGCATGAATTGCATCAAGTGCATCCCTCCTATCATCAAATTCAAGGAATGCATATCCTGGTGGCCTTCGAGCAACCCAGACACTGCATTAAACATATTTATCATAATCAAGCAATCAAAATGTAAATCCTTCATCGAGCACAGTCCCATGAAATGCAACAAGCGACAAGTGTTAGCCATGCTACCATAAACAATGCGAAAATTCTTCCCTCCCAATTTATTAAGTTAAATCATATAATACAACCTAGGTGGTAGAAACATATATGCACCATGCAAACTACTTTTATATGCAACAAACTGAAATACATAGAAAGAAACTTCTTCTCAAGACATAATCCATAAAAGAGTTACCAGCAGCATTGAATATTAGTTACAAAAGCATATATGTTCACCAAAAGCAACAACAATCTTCATTCACTAACCTATCGAACACCAAGCTAAAAGAGCCAAAGTATGTCATGATTAGGAGCAGCATAAAAATAAAACATTTATGTCCTGGGCAGCCTGAAATTGCAGTCTTAACTCCTAATGATTCCTTTTTTCCATACAAGAAAGGAAACAAACCGTTGCAACTCTCGCTCTCATATTCCATGCCAAAAAAAAAAAAGCACAAGTTACCCACACAAACTCGCAGATATCAATGTTATAATCGCGCGAGGAAACGACATTAGAAAGCAAAGTTAATTAAAAGAAGTAGCGAAGGTAAATTAGAATTTTGATAAATTACCTCCGGAGAACACCGTAGATACGAAATTCATCTTCAAGGTCCCTCTCAGTTACCCGAGGGTCCAAATTACCTACATAAACCCGAGACATTGTCCGCGGCCTGAAAATAGATCATAAAGTATGCATCAAGCCCCCGACTGCCTCGAAGGAAAAGACAAACACATGCAACCGTAACTTCGCAGAACTGTGAAAGAAAGTACAAAATTCACAAACAAATCCTTAAAACAATGGAGAAACACAAAAGATTACTGCAATTACACGGGAAAATTTCCGCCACAATCACAAAAATAGCCCTGACCTTGAGGTGCGGTAGTGGAGATCAGCTCGAAAAAGAACTCAAGAATCTCTCCAGGAAAGGAAAAGCCCTAGAGCACTTGAAGAAATTTCCAGAGTAGGGTTCCGCTCCCACCTTTGCCTTGTAAATAGCTGTGTTGAGAGCTGCCACCGGTGGGGCGCGAGGATCTTGAACACGGATCCAATTATGATGGCCCAATCTATGAATGTGTGACAAAAACGTCACGCCTCGTGCCAAAAAACCCGTTCCGTCTCGCGTTTCGTGTTGCCGGGAAAAAATTTCTTCAGATCAGCGAAAAAAGTAAATTTCTTTTTGATAAATTCAAATTTTTTGGTCGAAATGTTATTTCAGTGTGGATTGAAAAAAACCTTGTATCCAACAACTCCAAACTAAGGTTGAGGTTTGATTATTAACTGTTATGTAATGAGTAGGCATAATTAGAAGAAATTTACCTTTCATTTTTGGTAGCCAAAAGAATATTAGCCATAAAAAAGTTATGTGACAATATCCAGTAATCTCTCCTGTTTAATATTATAAGACAATTTTTTAAAATATTATGTTACAAGGTATAGGGTATTTCAATTCTTGCAATGTACAGTTGATAAGATTTTTTTATAAATATAAATAATTAGTGGTGTGATCAATAATATTTTTATTTTTTAACCGATGTATCATATTAAATAAAAATAAATATAAAAAAATATAATTTTAAAACAATTGACTAACTTGTTAAAAGTGTAATTTGATTAAATGTATTTTATAATATAAAATTAAGAGAGCATTTTTTTATAATAGAGAAAAATAAACTATACAATAATAACATCGCCTTGTTGTAATCTAAAGATTAAGCTATAAGAAATAAAATTTAAAAATTAAAATCTAATTGTGCACAATAAGACTTTTTCTAAGAGTACATCCGTTACTTCATTCACATATTTAAAAATCCTTTGAATGCATGCATCCAGGGCATGATTCAATATGATTTATATTTTTGAGACAACACTACAATTTAGATGAGAGAGAGAGTTTGTTCTATTTATTGCTTCAATAGCTTTGATAGAATTTGATTAAAAAAAAAATCTTTTTGTATCTAAAATCCAAAATAACTTTAGGCCCCCACAATCAAATCACAGCTTAGCTGACCAGAAAACTCAACATGTAGCTCACCAAAAAAAATTAATTTTTAAAAGTTTTTTTTATTTATACCATTGTGCAAAAATGTAAATTCCTAATGGTAAATAAATTATACTTCCTCCATTCAAAAATGTAAAATATTTTTTAAAAAATTAAATATTAAAAAATATAAGACATTTTTAGTCTTTTAAGGTATAATCATTACTCTTTTTTTTAAATCTCTTATTGATAAGGATTTTATATTTATTATAGAGTGATTAATAAAGGTAAATATAAAATGATAGGATTAATTTAAAAGTAAGTAATTACATTATTGAGATGAGATTCTATTAAAAATACTTTACATTTTTAAACGAAAGAGTAACATTTAATATTATTGGAATACAAATTTTTTTAAAAAAATGATCAAAAATAATTAAATAAATCACCTACATATTTTTACAGATTTATATATCATTTACTTTTTTATTGTTTTATGGAAATAAATTAGGAGCCCTATCTCTTGACAGTTCTATACAAAAGTTTATGGTAAGTCATCATGAATTTTATATTATGTTATGTAATTACATACATATATATATATATATATATATTGTAGATTAAAATTATTTTTCGTCTAGGAAGTGATTTCTTTCATATTAGCGTCCATTTGACGAAAAGGAAACTCCATCGAATGGCTTGGAAACAATATAAAGTAACTTTCCCATCGACAACATACCACTTGTCAAATCTCACCCCCTCCCCCTCCCAGGCCAGCACTTGTCGTCGTCAGTTTTGTATCTAAAGCACATATGATGGCATGGCTCGCATTGATGAGTGTGACAGAATTTGACAATCCAATCTGATAAGTGGGCAGAGCCCTTGCATTTATAAAAAGTATACGGTTCTGAACTCGGAGTCGGAGGTCGATGATTATTTTTCTTCCATTTTCCTAAAAGTTTATTGGACAGCATGGCTTCGAGATTCGGGTCGTATCTTTTGTCTCATTCTCTACTCAACGATAATCGTCAACATGGCTTTTTGCTGGCCGTTGGAATGCTTCGAGTGTCAACCCTTCCAACGGATGAAGCCGTAGATACTAGTCACAGTGCTGCAATTAAAGACTGGTAGAGGATTTCACAGAAACAGTGAGCTTTTATCTCAAAAATGAATGAAATCGGTTCATTATATACTCGATCCTCTTGAAAGCTATCAGTTTATTAGCGGTTCCTCCTTGAAGTACAAATTGGGGTTTGTGTAGTGGAAGAATGGAAGTTGATCGGATTGAAGAGAGCAGCGAGAGGTTGCTGGGTAGAAACAGTAGTGGTGGGAGTAGCGGAAGTAGGTGGGTCGATGGTAGTGAAGTATATTGGGACTCGCCTTCATGGTCAAGACGTAATGAGGAGGGCGGTGCAGAGGAATATGGTTCAATCAGAAGGAGGCTTGCGAAGAAACCCAGGAGAGTTGATTCATTCGACGTTGAAGCTATGGAGATTGCTGGTAGTCACGGCCACCACTCCAAGGTAATTTGTCGATCACGTTATTATTTCGTCCAAGCTTTGGCTTAGCATTTTGGAGATGCCCAATTGATCTGCGCATGTTTGTTGAGTTCCTTTCTTTGATATTTCACTTGAGAAATGACGAGATGTCCTAATTGCTAATTTCTTGCACACAAAAGGTGCACTAGGATTTTAGAAGCCACCAGCGCCAATGGAATAAATTGAACGGGAAAAAAACCACGCGTCTAAAAGGGGAAAAAAGAAAAAGAAAAGGAATTTAAGTGTTAGGACTTGAACCTAAAACGTTAGGATATGTTAGTGAATACCTAATAGTTGAAGATGACACATGTGGTTGAATAATGAATTTGCAACGTATGCACGTGAAACTCAGTTACGAAGCTGTCTTTCCTTCAAGTCAATTTCAGTTGTGTGTGGAATTAGCAGAAGATTGGAGATGTGTAAAGTGGCATTGCTCATGCTACAATTCATAAAGTAGTCGTTGGTGAACATTTGAAACTTATTTGCAACTTTTAACTGACAATCAGTAATGTTAACTTATACCTGGTTTATTAACTAGATTACATATAAGGCCATCTCCCTCTTTCTGATCTCTAGTACTTATGTGAATCAGGATCTTCCCGTTTGGTCCACTCTTGCAATGGCGTTTCAGACTCTTGGTGTGGTATATGGGGACTTGGGAACAAGTCCCCTGTATGTCTTTGCTGATGTCTTCAGCAAGGTTCCGGTTGAGTCCGAGGTTGATGTATTGGGGGCGTTGTCTTTAGTTATGTACACGATAGCACTTATTCCACTAGCAAAATATGTATTTATAGTCCTCAAGGCAAATGATAATGGTGAAGGTAATACATAAATATTCCTACTGTGGATTATTTACTTTGGTTCAGTAATTGTAAATCAGAGTTCTCATTCATTAACGGATTCACCTGTAGGTGGAACATTTGCACTATACTCTCTCATTTGCAGGTATGCTGATGTGAATCTGCTTCCTAATCGTCAGCAAGCTGATGAGCATATTTCTAGTTTTAAGCTGAAGCTGCCCACTCCAGAGCTGGAAAGAGCTCTGAACATAAAGGAGACTTTGGAAAAGAGGTCATCTTTGAAAACTCTTTTGCTGCTGTTGGTTCTGCTGGGAACTTCTATGGTTATTGGAGATGGTATCTTAACCCCTGCAATATCAGGTACATAAGCCTACCATTGTCTAACGGGGAATTCTGTGACAATCAAAAAGAAGATTGAAATTTTAAAAACTAGTTGTAACATATCCTGCAGAAGCTGCTGTGTTAAAGTTAAGTGCGTGTTCAAAATCATATCTTTGGAAATGAATATTACTCTATAGCTAGATTGATACGCTGGAAATTATTGGTTTGTACCATACGAACATTGCTGTTATATGAAGTTAGGCCACAGGCAGTCTATTTGGTAAAAATACTGCTAACTACCGTATACATTGATTTTCCACGGGTTAATATGCTTATGAGAATCTTGCTAATTTGTTGATATATAAGTACTTAACGTAAGCTGATGTGAGGAATGGACAATGACCTTCTGTATTCCCGCTGGTCACCAACATTAAAAAAAAAAAAAAAAAAACTCATTCAATTATGCAAAGAAAAATCTGTTTGACATGTGTGTCACAACAGCCAGTGCCCTCAACTCCCCCTGGGCGCCCAAGTTTTTGAAAAGTAGGTTTGCTGAGGATGTGATGTAGTGGACTAATCACCTCAAAACCTCCCGAGTTATGAAGAGAAAAACTCTGTCAATTAAGTTATATAAACAAGGAGAAAACTCACTTGCAGCTTTTTAAGCTTTTGCTATCAGGCTGCAATAACGACAGATAACAAGTAAAAAAAATTTCCACGGATCAACACCGCATGACTGATTCTCTTAAAAAAAAAAAAATGTTCTTCCATATGTAATGTTTCAGTTAGAGCACTTGATAGCAAGCTTCTAAGAAACTTAAGTGTTCTCCCGTGAACAATTACCACCGCGTGACAAGCATTGCAATGCCCCCACAATTGAAACAGGTTCTTTATTCCACTTGACATGGTTCATTTATTTAAGTTTGGAGTATTTTGATTTACAAGGAGCAAACCGAGTACACACTACATATAGTTTCATCTAATGGGCTTGTACCTTTGGTCCCTTGGGGTTTGGGACTAGACTTTGCTAAATTGATTGAATTGGCCATTTTCTTCCACTCTTCCTTGTAATCTCGTTCGTGGGATTTTTATTTACCCTTTTCATTCTCTAAGTGATATTGGAATGTATGTTAGAAAAAACAAAATTGTTTGTGCTGCGCTTAATTATAATCACAATGCTTCTTTGTCGCAGTGATGTCTGCCATAAGTGGACTGCAAGATGAGATAAATGGAATCGGTACAAGTGGGTATAGTTTCCTTCTTCTTTTTCCTTGAATTTACCTTTATTTCTAGTTGAAAAACTAGTAAATGAATAATGAGAGCAAAGAGAAAACTCATATTTTCACCACAAAAAAAAAAAAAAACTCATAACTGGGGAGTGGAGGTGGTTTATGAAGAGATCCCTAGTCACTTTCCCTTTTGTAGATGGATAGTACGCGGAAAACCACATTCATATGCATGCTAACTTTAGATGGAAATTCTCGTGGTGGGCTTTTCCTTTTCTGTTTCAGGGAGATATACCTCAAAGTCACTTCTTGTCTTTGAAGAAATGAATTTGTGACATTTCAGTAAAAGTCACATTCGAAAATTGCAGATATCTCTCCAAAATTTTCTGAACCAAATGTCCATGAGATCAAAGTCTTTATAATATTTATTAATTAATAAGCTGAGTGCTTAGACCTAAGCGGGTTGGTGAATTGTTCTGCCTTAGAAACAATTTGTGAATGATTGCTCCCGCAAGTTCACAGGATCAATATAGTTATGAATCCTAGAGCACTCCAAGAGTCAAATCTAGAGGAAGACGATGATCTTTGTTAGTTATAAAAAGCAAATAAAAGTTTTGAAAAGAGAATTAATATTTAAGGAAAGAATGCAAATAAAAATGATAAAAAGCGATGAACTGAATATATTAGACAAGTGTTATGGATCAAAATTCACCTATTAGGATGGTTTACTCTAATTCAGTTAATTATCTTCCTTTTGTTTATAATGACAACTATTTTTAAAGTATTCTAATTACCTCTCAATAAATTAGGGTGTATCTATTTAGGGTTGAATTAGCTTTAGCTAACCCTATCAAGACCCTAGATAAACCATGAAACTACAATCTCAGTCACCACAGATCCTACGTTATCTCTAATTCAATTATCTGTGTTTATCTCTCTTGGTCTAGATTAATTTTTCATCTCTCAATTCTTTGAATAGCCCACAAACAGATTATATACTAGCTACATATATAATAAGGTAAGAAATAACGAGAGAGATAAATATAAATAAACAAAAATTCATGTTCAACGGGAAAATGAAATAACCAAATAAAAGAGAAAGATCCATCTCAACCAAGCTATTCCTTACTCTTGACTGGGAGTTTAGAAACAACTCATAGTATTCAAACTAAAATTTCCAAATAAAAACATGAACAGAATCTAAAGAAGAAGAAAAGAGAGAAAGCTACCAACTTGGAAGAACTTCTTCTAATTTTGTAATATGCTTTCTAGCCTTTAGATATGAGATTAGATCCCTTGAGAGGCTTTTGGGAGGTTTATTTATAATAAATTTGTCCCCCTTGGCTTGGAATATAAATAGGTCGCACCTAATCTGATCTGATTTGTTCATATCTGATTTAAAATATAATTAAATATTAATTTGCGTTTCTGGGCCTATGTCCATGCGCAGTCGGGCCTAGTTATATTATGTCCACGCATGGTTGAAGAGCAAAGAGTGTTGTGTCTGCATGTTCCTCCACACATGGTCAAAGAGCGACACCTAGAGATTTCCTCACGCAGTTGAGATTTGTTCTCAGATGTCTGTGGCTGGTATTGTTGAGGACATTTGGAGTCACCACGATAGATTATATCCACAAGCGGAGGAAGTGTTCGCAGGCTTGTCCGTGAGCGGAGTTGTCTTTTTGGGTCTAATTCCTTGGTCTTTGACTTTGGGCTTCGCATTTTAAGTTCTTTTTCATGCTATATTGCTCCTTCTTCTCAAAAATACACCAAAAATACTAAGTGAGACTTTTTATCCATATTTATCCTTTTTCGATGCATTATCCAATGAATAAAAGGGTGGAAAATATATATAAATTTAGGTAAAATATCCACTTATTAGTGAACATCTCTATTAGTGTTCACAAACGGAGCTTCTCTATAAGCGAGAAAAAGTGAGAAAGAGATGCCAATTTAAGTTTGTCTGTTAGTCTGACTCTTTTAAATATTAGCTGTACCTATTGAGATTTAGGTTTCTTCAAGAACACTGCCTTTTATCTATATTCTGGAACTGTGGACTATTGACAGTATTAACATTGTGAATGACTTAAATTTTTTGTGTTTCTTACTTGCAGAAGCGGTGGTCATTATTTCAGTTGTAGTTCTGCTGGGTTTGTTTAGCATACAAAAGTTTGGTACCAGTAAAGTGGCTTTCCTGTTTTCCCCTATTCTCGCTTTATGGTTCTTTTCTCTGGGTTCAATTGGAATATATAATATATTAACTTATGATGCCAATGTCCTGAAAGCATTCAATCCAGCTTATATTTATTATTTCTTCAAGAAAAATACGACAAGGGCATGGTCTGCTCTTGGTGGCTGTGTTCTATGTATTACAGGTGTGTCTTTTTTCTCTGCGATTGAAAACATCACAAAATTAATAGTTTTTTTTGGCTTAATTTATATGATTTTGCCATTCAGAAGGCACAAATAACGAAGACACTGTTGATTTAAGATAATATGATTGATATCAAGCTTGCCAATTACTTGGGATCTTATTGAAGTGAGAATATAGCCATGAAGCATTCTTGTTAAAGTGAGAAATTTGTGAAGCATGAAAACAGCCCTTTCAGTTGTAAGAAAGACAAGTAACCAGAAACTCAGACAACTTGCTTGCATATTTTCTCTTCAGGTTCAGAGGCAATGTTTGCTGATCTGGGTCATTTTTCTGTACAAGCAATACAGGTTTGTACCTTGTTGTAATCCCACAAGCTTGCTTTAAGTATTGAATTTTCTAGCTCAAGTCTTACATTTAATTGATTATGCAGATTGCTTTTACTTGTGTGGTATTTCCATGTCTCCTCTTCGCTTATATGGGCCAAGCTGCTTATTTGATGAAGTACCCTAATTCATATTCAGAAATATTCTATGCTTCTGTTCCAGGTGATTTGTCAATAGATGATTGTTTATGCCTGTGAATAGGATTCGTTGCACTTTCAAACTCCTAGTTTATAGATATTTGTTTTTTATTATAATGATTTTTTTATCATATATATTTGTTTATTTCATACAGAAAGCCTCTTCTGGCCAGTGTTTGTGATAGCTTCTCTTGCTGCTATGATTGCCAGCCAAGCAATGATATCTGCTACATTCTCATGCGTGAAGCAAGCTATGGCTTTGGGCTGCTTCCCAAGGCTCAAGATAATTCACACGTCAAAAAAGCAAATGGGTCAAATTTACATCCCTGTAATGAACTATTTTCTTATGATCATGTGTATAGTGGTCATTTCCTTCTTCCAGAGCACAACTGACATAGCAAATGCATATGGTAACAAATCACCATCTTATTTTTCTGATTATTTCTTCCTATTGTTGCTACTTTGGTTCAAGGGTGATGTTCCCGCTTGGTACTTATTTCTACGTTCTAGTTTAGTCACCTGTGTTTTAACTTGTCCACGATTACAATTTGGCAACATGTCAAAAAATTATGTAACAGGATTACTTAAACTAGTTGGTCAGAATTTAATTGATAACTCACAAAGTAGTGGGTTCAAATTTCGATGTTAATGTGAGAATATTATTGGTAAACAATGTATAAGTACCTTTGTTTGAGTTCTTTGAACCCAAGACATGCCCTAGCCCTACTGAGCCGTTGGGATCCAACTTACTTGAGCTTCTTCACACCAAAATAAAAAGGAAAGAATTATTTAAACCAGAATGCCTCATGTATTGATTAACTTAAATTATCAATTACCTATGTCATATTCAGGTGAATTTTTATTTCTGCACCCACATGCATGTTTTTTGTGTTGGCATGATTCTAGATGTCTTTATTGACTTTGACCATGTTAATTATAAGTTTATAACATCAACCACTGGCTCTCATATGATTGATGGTGCCAAAATACAAATGACATAAACAGTTGATGGTATGAATCCAGAGGTTTTAAATTTTTATGTACAACTTGAATGGACCAAATCATGCTGAAACCATACAGCACACCTACCTAATGCATAGTCGCGTTTGTGGCATATCTACTAACGCTTTCCATATTGCTCTTTAGGCATTGCTGAAGTAGGTGTCATGATGGTTAGCACCACCTTGGTGACACTTGTAATGCTTCTAATCTGGCAGACCAACTTGTTCTTGGCGTGTTGTTTCCCACTCATATTTGGATCAGTGGAGCTGATTTACATGTCTTCTGTCCTATCAAAAATAGTTGAAGGTGGCTGGCTTCCTCTTGCCTTTTCTAGTTTTCTCCTCTCTGTAATGTACATCTGGAACTATGGGAGTGTGTTGAAGTACCAAAGTGAAGTCAGGGAGAAGATCTCACTGGATTTGATGCGTGACCTTGGCTCCAATCTTGGAACTGTCAGAGTGCCCGGAATAGGGTTACTGTATAATGAACTTGTACAAGGCATTCCTTCCATCTTTTCACAGTTCCTTTTGGGCCTCCCAGCTATCCACTCTACTATAGTCTTCGTTTGCATCAAATATGTTCCGATTCCCGTGGTTCCTCAAGAAGAAAGGTTCCTGTTTCGAAGAATTTGTCCCAAGGATTATCATATGTTCCGGTGTGTTGCCAGGTATGGCTACAAAGACGTGAGAAAGGAAGACCACCATGCATTTGAGCAACTTCTTATTGAAAGCCTTGAGAAATTCTTGAGAAGGGAGGCTCATGAAACTGCCTTGGAGATGCGGGGCAACTTGACTGAGGATAATGTTTCAGTGAGATCATCAGATTCTGATCCTCCTTCTGCCAATGGGCATGAGGATGAACTCATGATTCCGCTTATGCATGGTCGCAATTCCGAAGAAACAAGAACTCCTGCTGCACCAGGAACTGCATCATCTGTGCTAACTTCTAGTTATATGCCATCTGAGGAAGACTCGAACCTTGAGGAAGGCCCTAGTCTTGAATATGAACTTTCAGTGCTTAGGGAAGCAATGGAATCTGGATGCACCTATTTGCTTGGACATGGGCATGTGAGAGCAAAGAAGAACTCTTTTTTCCTCAAGAAATTGTTGATAAATTATTTCTATGCGTTTTTGAGAAAGAATTGCAGACAAGGGACTGCAAGCATGAGAGTGCCTCACACTAATATAATTCAAGTGGGGATGACATATATGGTCTGATTCATCCGTGTAGTTCTTTCTGATATCTGAGAGCTCAAGGTCATTCTGGACACTGGAGGTTGAAAAATTCTTAGGCTTTTTTTTGGAAATTTTGCTTGCCTAACCAATTATACATGGACATGTAAGCGTATCAAAAGAGAACTCCAGTGAAAAAACATTATAATGCGCTTACATGTCCCTTGATGATTAGCTTGATTTATTTTTTCTTTCCTTTTTTTGGGTAATCTAAGAATTTCTCTTATAACTTTGACCTAGTTATTGGTATTGGTATTTACCTTCAACTAACAATGATTTTGATGAAACATGTTTTTATATAGCTAGCTGATTAAGTCAAATTCGAGTATTGTCAGCTCAGTTGGAGTTGCTTTCTCCAAGACTTCTTTGCGTTCAAGCGGACTTGGATTCAAAATTTTCTAATTAAATTTTCATAGCTCTTTTTACTAGTATTACTGTCTTTGGGTGGTGTTTTTTTCAAAAAAAACACACACACACACACAATTATATTCCATTGACAATTGAAACTCAAGGTATTATTAATGAAGGTTAGATTCATTCCAACTAGATTGTTATATGTGAATCATTAACTAATTGTTGAAGCATTGAAAGCTCCTATCATATATGCTAGCTTAAGTTGGTGCTTACATTGTTTAAAGGGAAAATTACATAGTATATTTATTTATAAATAAATCTCATAAAATTTAAAAATCACAACAAAATTTTTTAGGACTTAAGTGTAATTTGAAGCTAGGATAAAAAGATAATAATATTTTATTAAATATATATGTATTATATTAATCAAATAATTTACAATTACTTTATTTTAAACTAATTAATTTAATTATTGAATATATGAAGGTACAATTATAAATTACTAATAAAATAATAGTAAATAATTAATATGATGTAAATTGCTTATGATTGTTTAACATGGATATATGAAATTATAGTTGTTGAAAGTTAAAATTATAGTTATAAATTATTAATGAAATAGTTGTAATAATAGAGGTATTATTGTCTTTATAGTTTAAAATTAACTTACATTTAGGTTTAAGGAGACATAAATGTGGTCTCTAAATTTTACAGAACTTATTTATAAATAAATGTGCTCTATATGACTTATATGTAATTTTTTCTTGTTTAAATTGGCTTTGAACTTGTAATTTATCCCAACGCATATTTGCATGGATGATCAAGTTGAGCCAATGGATTACATATTTAAATTATTTAATGTTTTGAGAT